AAAGGAATTCAAGATATCCCATTTCATATTAACTCGAGTTCTGGTGTCATCACGGTCAACGGTTCTCTGGACAGAGAAAAAGTCTCTTTGTATGAAATAACTGCAAAGGTAAGTTAAACACACACTTTGATTTGATATCAGGGGGGCCGTTATATTGTACAGACATTTCTAGTAGTAGTAGTAGTAGCAACTTTATTTAGAGAGGGTAGCACTAAATAGTAGAAACCACTAATAAACTTGTGGCCCTCAATTATACAATCAAATATACAATATAAACAAACTATGTAAGATTAAAAATATATAAATATATAATATAATAACTGAGCTAATTATCTAAAAAACTAATGTTATATATACATGCAAAAAAATAAAAATAAATAAATAAAATAGAAAATATATATATTAAGGGTAAAAATGATGTAACAATTGTTGTTCCTTTAAAAATTTTTGCCTTAAAACTGCTTTAAACGACTTGAGAGATACTTGAGAGCTACTCTAATAAAACAGCAAAATGAATGACATTAATAATATTATTTTCGATTTAGGCGTATAATCAAGATATTCCCAGTCTTTTCTCAACTGCCTTGGTATCTATCACCATAACAGACATCAATGATAATGAACCATCCTTCAATCAATCAAAATATTACGTGACATTACCTGAAAACATCCCAGGAGGTCACATGGTCATTGACCTTAGTGCGAGCGATGCTGATGAAGGTAGAAATGCAGATATACAATATGCACTCGTCGCTGGAGGGATGGGAAAGTTTATGATTTCAGGTTTGTATTTTGTGATTATATCTAATACATTCAGGCCATAATTTTAACGTCTGTCATTATACTTAAAAAAGATCTCTCATGAATGAGTGTAACGAGATTTCCAACACGTGACCTTGTGACATTTTATTTATGATATAAATACTCACAAAAACAATTATGCGTTTTGAATCCTCGAATATGTACAAATACCAARAATAAAATTTTCAATAGCCTGAGAGATAAGAGCGTATGAATTGCTCAGCACGTTATATATTTAGTTTTTAAAATTATCTTAAAAGTAGTCAGCACAAATATTGACAGCTGATTACAATAAACTATTCCAGATTTAACAGGTGTCATAAGAACARCGTGTAGTCTTGACTACGAGACGTACAGATCATTCACACTCAATATCTCTGCGACTGACCGAGGGTCTCCTCCTTTGCAAAGCTTTGTGGGATTAATTATTAATGTGACAGACTACAATGACCACGCCCCTGTCTTTAATAAAACCACCACAGCTGCCTACGTTACAGAGAATACGCCTATTAACAGTAGTGTAATGGTGGTGCAAGCCAYGGATGCCGACAGTRGAGAAAATGGGAAGGTAATGTTACTTTGCTTCAAGTGCTTTAAAAAGACATTTGAAAGATTTTCACTGCAAGTGAAAACAAGATCAGAAATTGAGCTTTGTCTGTGGAACTTGCTTAGGCCACTTAACAATGCTTTTCTTTGACTATGCTTCGGTTTATGCTATGCGTATGATGCTAATGATAAAAGCGGAAACAGTGATCGATATCTACTATTAGAGCAAGCACTAAGCCATGTGGGATAAAGTCCTAATAAACGTTATGATTGACATCGTGATACATTGCTGCATCTGATGGTGACGATGAAAGACAAGGTTATAACGATGACTCATTATTAGACATTTATTTATAAATTAAGAAACTTGTGTTTATTTAGATAACATATTCATTGGAAGATGATGTTAATGGCAATTTTGGCATCAATACTGAAACTGGTGAAATAGTGAACTTAAGGCTTTTAGACTACGAAAATARAACATCCTACAAATTRCATGTCAGAGCYTCYGATGGAGGAACAAACCAGCTATCGTCCACACACGAGGTAAGATGTCTTGACATATCAGTAGTACTATAAATTTATAAGATATATACCATAATCGTATGAGGAAGTAGCTGATCCCATTAAAGAGTGCTCAATACACAAAAAGTGTAGAGCTAGTTATATATATGATATCAAAGAGGCAAGATTTTGCTGTAACTCCGAGTTTCGTGCTACGCACTCATCAGACAGTATTAAATACTGTCTGATGAGTGCGTAGCACGAAACTCGGAGTTACAGCAAAATCTTGCCTCTTTGATATCATATATATAAGATATATACCATAAATTTGTAAGTTAACGCCTTCCGGGCTACACGGGAGGGGCTGCATACTTAATCCAGATTCGAACGGGAAGTCCCTCTTGTACCTCTTAGACTATTAAAGACCGAACAATCGCGAAATTTGATATCAAATTCAAAACAAAAATTTAAAATTTAAAATGTAGACACTATCCARTCGTCTAGGGTTTACACAAGCCAGGTAGTGTTCCCGTAAAGATGTCAATGTGACGTTTTTGTCTCATCCAGACTAGTACACCCCTAATCAAGAAGTTAATTGTATAACCTATCCAAGACACGAAGGCTACTTCGCCGAACGCCCTCGTATAGTAAATATCGTCGATCTTCCCCCTCCCCCTTCACGGGTGGTCTGCTATCTATACTACCTATTCATGAACAATATTTTGCAGTCATACATTTCCTTTCCATAACTTTAATTTTGACGACCTTTATTAAAGATAATGGAATGCGACAATGTTGTACAAACTGTCTTTGCTACATTTCTTATTGGATCATTAAAGCTAAGCTGACTTTCATTAGGTGACGGTCTTYGTTCGTGATATCAACGATAACGCTCCACAGATTGATCCGTATTTCAATTTTGAAGTTGACGAAAACGCTGTTCCTGGAATGTTAATTGGTTCTCTCAACGCAAGCGATCTTGACAGCGGTGAGAATAGCAGGCTCAAATACACCTTGAACAACAGAAATGGTAAAACATCTTGAAACTTTTTTGTTTTCTGTCTATTTTCATTTCTCATGGGTTTGTTTGATTTTTCTTTGTTGGATTMATTGAATTTTTTTAATTGTCCTCTCAGATRTTTTCAGTGTTCATGAAGACAATGGTGCTTTGTTGTTGGTTCGCTCAGTTCTAAGTTTAACAAATCAAAACATTTCATTGTCAATCACGTGTCAAGATGGTGGCAATATTCCGCTGACCGCTAATACTACAGTCTATGTTTATATTAGTCCTGGTAGCAGATATAAAACACACCTTGTACCCCGTCATACAAATATAAGCATTTATGAGGTGAGTGGATTTTTGAACACAAATCGGCAAATCTTCATCGAAAATCTATTTATATTTGAAACCAACCGTCTACCGACGCACGAAACTTGCACTGTTTCGCAAGGGCTGTGGACCATCACAAGATCACAGACGGAAACGAKTCATTGTATTTACACTGAATACGTACAACACTGGACGTTCTATTTAACAATTAGTCAACGAGATCTAGAGGTCTAATTGTTTTAGTACAAAACAATAGGACCAAAACAATTTTTGATAACAATTTTTGTCGATATATTTTCGACCAATTTTTCACATTCGACGTGAACTTGTTCTATCATGAATACACCATAGTTCAGTTGCCATTCAAAATGCTGTAAGTCACCTATAGTTTGGTGGATATACAGTACTGGTTCAAATTGTCTTCCTAGCTTAGCGCTTCAAGTTTATTATGTTGTTCCTACAACTGAGATATGTTACAATTTATTTCTCTCTCTCACTTTGATTTGGTTTCTTCAGAATGCAACACAAGGACAGCTCGTTACCATTCTTAAYGCGTCCAGACTACACACAGTAAGGTATATTCGAATCGATGAGGATCATGGGATATTCAAATTAAATTCCACAACTGGAGAAATAATCCTCGTCGGTAGTTTAAACAGAGAAAAGAAAGATTTTTACCAGGTAAAGTGATTATATTACACTTAAAAGTACGTATTGATTTATTTGAAATTAGTTATTAATCATTTAATTTATCGATCCATTTTTGATTTAGCTATTTGTAGGAGTAAGAGATATTACTGAGCGTCTTATCTCAGGCTACGGTACCGTGACAGTCGCAGTTCTGGACGTTAATGACAATGCACCAACTTTTCTTCAGGTGAATCTCAATCTTCCCTCATCGTGGCCACCTCATCACTACCTATAGCGATGACATGCATTGTTTACATCCAAAATATCAAGATTCAAAAAAGCAAAAAACAATCTGAATTTGAATAATTCAAGATTATATTATTCTCAAAATAATCTCTAAAGCTCAGGGTGAATTCCTTTTTGCATTTCGAGATATCGCTAAACCATAAGYAGTTTCCAAGAGCATCCACCCCATGGACAACATGAACAAATCTTTACAAAATCTTACAAATTCGTAAAAGATAGATATAATCAATTGTCTTCAAATTTTAATAACTTTCTAGCAGGTTTGGATTATTTTCAATTTTGGAGGTGATTTTATCCGATTTCGTTTTAAACATTGGCGCTCGTCTACACCGGTCACACCTAACCACTCAAGGTCTACAGACCAGTTAACATGGCTCACTGTGGTACCAATGATTTTTTGTTTCAGAAACCTTTAATTCCATCTATTCCTGAGAATTCTCCTAATGGAACTGTTGTTACTCGAATCCAGGCCACTGACCTAGATGAGGGTGTCAATCAACAGGTGTTTTTTTACATCGAAGGTGAGATATCAAAAAATCGCTGATTCGCTTCAAATCAAAAACGTAAACGTAGGAAAATAAAAAAGGCACAATTAAAGTTTAATTAAGACTTTTCATCGTATTTAGGTTCATCTTCAAGACTATTTAGCATCGACAACCATACGGGAGTCGTAACAACTATCGGGGATTTGGTAAATTTATATGTAGTAGTAGTAGTAGTAGTAGTAGTAGTAGTAGTAGATCCTGATAATCATTCTACGGCAGATCTACATTTCCTGTGAATTCCGTTCTGTAACAGTGTATTACTATAGCCGTAATCTTTTCTCAAAAAATCTTTGCTGTGATTTCTGCGCATGCTGTCATCTGTTCTCCATGTGTTCTGTGCTGTGTTCGTGTTGCGACCTGTGTTGTGGTCTGTGCTGTGGTCTATGCTATGGTCTAGGCTGTGGTCTGTGCTGGTTTCTGTGTTGTGGTCTGTGTTGTGGTCTATGCTATGGTCTAGGCTGTGGTATGTGCTGTTTTCTGTGCTGTAGTATGTACTGTGAGTCCGGCTGTGGTCGTTTTTTTTTGTGTCTGTGACGGACAATTGCGAAGACATTAAGTTGTGCGTGCATGCCATCAAGCCGCTGTTACTACTGGAAATAGTTGAGAGTATTTGTCTTGTGATTATGGAAACATCCAGTAGATCTTATAAAACGTCTTGTTTTGGTGATTCTCAAAGGACTTTGAAACCAACCCAAGCTATAACATCACAGTCATTGCTGAAAACACCCTATCAACAATACGTCTGCGCAGTAAGTTGTCTTTCCTTCTACCGGTAAAAGATGTGCTGGATTTCATGCCAAGATTCGCAAAAAACGTTTACAACGCAAGTTTTCAAGAAGACATTTCACCAGGTTCAGCTGTTATAGACCTGAATGCAACCATAAATGATAAGGTATGAATTTTGCCGCTGTGATTTGAGCCTGAAGCGAGCGAAGCGAGGATCGGAAATATTATTTCAAACAACAAGAAAAATATCGGTAGAAAAAAATTGAGACGTATAGTAAGCGTTCATTTGGAGGGAAAAAGACTTTGCTGTTGTAGCATGCGATATGAATTACAATGTGAATTGTAAATATAGTTTAATCTAATCATTATTTTAYAACTCTTATAAGGACTTACAGCCAGGCTGAATTGTGGCATAGTCATGATTACAAATGATAAAAATTATTGAGGCTCAAGAATTTTATCATTTGTAATGGCATGACCATGCCACAATTCAGCCTGGCTGTAAGTCCTCATAAAAGTTATAAAAGTTGCAAATATTTTCAAATATATTCAACAGAACTCCAACTTCATAGCTTATCGCATTCTTCACAATCGTAGTAGCCGCAATTCATATGATTTCACAATCGAGCCAGAGACAGGGGAACTAACAACACAGACAAACCTGGACAGAGAGACGACAAACAACTATTCGGTGAGTTATAATCCTGGTTTCTAACAGTGATTTGTAGCTTTCTAGTTATTCGTTATAGCATTCCTGTATATCCTAATAATCAAGCTGCAAATAAAGTCTTCGTTCTGTAGAATTTTTGATTTGCATTGCCGCTGAAYAATGCTTTTATGCTTACAATTCAGTTGGTTATTGAAGCACGTGACCTACGAGAACCAAAGACATTCCTGGCAACAACTACAGTTATAGTGACRTTGATCGATGTGAATGACAACATCCCCTCTTTCGCTGGCAACAAATCTTATTCGTAAGTTGTCATGGTTAGCCGTTATTACAAGATCACAAG